GCCATCAGTTCCTTCTTTTGAGAGAGCAGACGGTATAGTGCCTTGAGAGAGAGAGAGAGAGAGAAACAGAGAGAGACAGAGAGACAGAGAGACAGAGAGACAGAGAGACAGACAGAGAGACAGACAGAGAGACAGACAGAGAGACAGACAGAGACACACAGAGAGAGAGACAGAGAGACAGAGAGAGAGAGAGAGAGAGAGAGAGAGAGAGAGAGAGAGAGAGACAGAGAGAGAGACAGAGAGAGAGACAGAGAGAGAGACAGAGAGAGAGACAGAGAGAGAGACAGAGAGAGAGAGAGAGAGAGAGAGAGAGAGAGAGAGAGAGAGAGAGAGAGAGAGAGAGAGAGAGAGAGAGAGAGAGAGAGAGAGAGAGAGAGAGAGAGCCTTGCCTGCTGGCTATCCACCATGCCACGCCAAGTATAAGTAACTAGTTAGTTCAAGTTCAGTCTTACGTTATCTACACCGACTACACATCATCTGTACACATGGCACTACCCGCACTATCAAGAATATATAAGCTCCCAAGAATGCACAGCTCTGGATACCCTTTCCATGGGGTCCGCCGATGGTGAAAACTCTCACATCCCGGGTTCCCGTGTGCGTTCCTAGCCCGTTTTTTAGCAACCAGCGGAATAGTAAAACTAGAAACCCATCAGCTGATGCAAGTCATCAGTATGATTATGCCAGCTATTAGACTGCTTGCACGCTAGCCTTCGTTGTACGTAGCACAAGTCATACGTACTTGGGACGTGAGTTTTCGCCGTCAGAGACCCCACATGCAGAGTTGCCCACTCTTGGGAGCTTATTATTGATACTGTGCACGGCTGTTCGTGGATTTTCCTCATTCAGTGAATGGTGGCTTGTACCGCAGGGGGTTCATACCTTTTAGCAATTTCGTCACATCTCAGACATAGTGGCATGGTAACATCTTTCCTCATTGCTGGTGGCAGTTCATCAACCAGGTACAGATTTGCTTCCTTGTAGACATCCAAAAACTTGCCCAGCTTACGGCTTTCTGGAATGTGCCACTTATCGTCGTCCCGTGTCTCCATATGAACTTTGAGATCTCCGAACGTCTTTTTCAGGTACTCGTCCGTCCAGAGTTTCGTTGCTCGCCAGTGCTTCGCAGCGTTCTTGATAACGACAGGTTTGTGGCGGACTACGTATGACTCGTAGAAATCTTCAGGACTTATCATGTAGGGCAGGACTTCCACCTCGCTGTCGGGTGCACGATGCGATCCCAGCTCCTTCAGATGACCCCGCTGCACCATGTCCTCCGGAATGTCCTCGAACGTCTCAACATAAGCCAGCCCAGAATCCTGCCGGCTCCCCAGACAATCTTCACCGGCAATGCATTGGTCGTTGCTGGCCAACGCTAGGCTCATCGCCAATGCGGCGAGCGAAGAATAGCGCAGCAGCCACCCAGCCACCATGGTTGCTTATCCTTCTCGGCCAAATAGTTTTCAAGAGTCAAAGCAAAGCCGAAACTCATTGCATTCGAGCATCAGTGTTGCTCGAGTATGTCCGAAAATTCATTCGTTCAGCTGCTCAGATCTACATGCTTCATCTTCATCTGATTCTCGAAGAAGTCACTTCACACCAGGGAGTAGTATGTATTTTACTACACCCTGCTTCACACACTCAGGAAGTCAGTGACACACACAATGTGACACATACATACATCAAGCCAGGCCAGGCTACGCCGAGCTGGAGCTTCCACTACTACAGTTTTTTTTTTACAAAAAAACACACACCATTTGACGGCACAAATCAGCAAGGCAGCGATGGGACATATGGAGGAGTGGGGGAGAGGCAGGGCCTAGGGGCAGCTTGACCGACCGGGCATTGGGTCTCGGCTTCATTGCAACCCAAGCGCTCCACAAAAGCAAAAGATTACAGAAAATAAATACGCAGGGGGGGGGGGTAGATAACTGGGGATTACGGGGAAAAGTATGCACAATAATATTAATAAGTAAGTTATCAGAGAGTCAACGAAGGAGGAGGAGGCCAACAGAGTTAGAGCTTTTTTTGTCTTTTTTCTTTGATTCATAGCCTGTCCGTTGCCCACTCCCAGCGGGTAAGGCGCAGGTGGGTGTTGACCTTTTCTTTGAACGTCTGCAGTCCTTTCCTTGTTGGCTGGTTCAGCAGAACGCACTGCGGGAGCTGGTTCCAGACCTCCACAACAGCGTCAGGGAAGGACCGAAGGACATCATTCCGTGCTCTGGGCGGAAGAGTGGAAGTGAGCTGAAACTGGTGTGAGGGATGCTTTTGTGTGCGTCGGCTATGGTGTGATGTGTTGGTCGCTCGGGGTGGAAGAAGGGTGAGAAGCATGTCTGGGCCAGTTGAAAAGTGGAGCTTGTAGAGAAAGCAGAGTGCGCCGACCATTCTGCGGATGTCCAAGCTAGGGAGGTAGGCTCCATCACCGATTAGGTGAAGGCCACGGCGCTGGATGGCAGTGAGGCGAGCCAGAGTGGTGGGTGCAGCGCTCATATACACGAGCATGCCGCGTACTCCAAAACCGGGCGGACGAAGCCCTTGTAGATCACTCCACGGCACCTGGAGTCCAGCACTCGTGAGGCTTTCCGGAGGAAGCCGAGACGCTGCGAGCCTCGAATAGCCAATTGCCTGATATGAGCTGTGAAGGACAGGTGTTGGTCAAACAGCACACCCAGCAGCTTCAGCTGGTCGACTTCCGGAACAACTGTGCCCTGGAATACAATCGGTGGGACGACGACTGTGTTGAGATGGTGAGAAACCAGGAGGGACTGAGACTTTGTAGGTTCAAACCTAATGTGCCAGGCCATTCCCCAGTCTGCCAGCGCATTTACAGCGAGCTGGAGTGTGGTAGCATCTTCGGGTACTAGTACTGTAGTAGTACTACAGTCAGACCTCGCATAACCGCACACATCCGTTTTCCAGAAAAATGTCCGGATAGGCAAGGGAACCGGATAATCGAACACACATACTGTATGTATGCATGGCATATGCTGTAAATCGGCAACCAACAATTTTCTTCCGGATGGCGAGGGATCCGGATAAAAGAGGACCGGATAAGCGAGGTCTGACTGTACTGTCACTGCTAATGCTAGTACTAGTACAGTACTAGCAAGAGTATGGGGGTTATAATACTCTTGCTACTAGGCGGGTAGATCTACTACTAGTACTAGGCGACTACGGACTAGCACTACGGACTAGCACTACGACACTAGTGCACTACTGAGTACTGTACTCTGTAGTTTGTGTCACAGACTCAGTGCGTGGATCGTGTGGTCCTTCCACACAGTCCTGCTTTCCGCACCAGGGAGTGGTGATACGAAACTAACTTCGAAAGGGATTTCACGACCACTCCTGCTTTCACTGTAACCAGAAATCGATCGCCGGGTTGATAGCCGGGTTGATCGCCGGGTTGATAGGGCCAACTAGTAATAGGCTATGAGCGCTTGGCTTGGTCTGGGCAAACAGCTCGTTAGCGTTTCTGAATTGCATCGGAGCTTCGAGCTTGGGTATGCAATGCAATGCAGTGCTCTTACAAGGTTAGGGTTAGGGTTAGTAGTCTTCGCTCTTCTCTCCTCCTACCACCCCCACTCCACGTACGTCACAGTCGGATTTCACAAGCAATCCGATACATAGTTGTATCATTGCTTGTGAAATGGGCGTACCCGCTGATCGCACTGTGACTGTTTCGGCACTTCCTAGTAACGGAACACAGTCATGTAAACTGTTCTGATGTTGTTGCAATGACAATGATCATGTACTGTCCTGGACATGGAAATCCGGTCGTACGTCTAGCGGCCCCAGGGCGCTGGCCATGCACTGCAACCGTGGCGGCGTGAGCAAGCGGTAAGAGCAGACACTATGCGCTGCAGCACTCTGCCTCTGGTAGTGTCGGATCAACATGTGTACTGTGTGCAATGTTCTGTACGCGCTGATGCCAGCAGGGCGCCGGCCCAGGTCATTCGACTGGATTTCCATGTCCTCCACAGTACTAGTAGTTCCTTCCAGTGTACAAGTATGTTGTATTGTAATGCATTGCATGTCGGAGTATGTTGTATTGTATTGCATGTCGAAGTTTCCGGTGAGACAAAACTATGTCTAGCCCTCGCGATTTACGCGATTTCATGCTCAAACACAGCAGTTTAATATTCTAATGAAGCTGTCCTTGATGCAGCTCATCCAAGGCCCTTTCAGGCCTTTTTTCATGCTGTCAAACAGGTAATTTTTGCCCGTAAAATTTAAAAGAGGCTTGACACATGCTTCAAAAAAAAAAGAAAAAAGGAGACTAGAGCACACAACTGAACTAGTGGATACCCACACACACACATGCGCAAGCACACAAACACACCAGGGGCGTAGCTGGTCCCCTTGGGGGGGGGGGGGGGGAGGGGGTGCACGGCCGCATATGTAGGATGTCTGGTACCATGGTGCATGTCATTCATGGTCATTTTGTGAATGCTGATTCTAGGTCGAAGTTTTTGGGGGGGGGGTGGGGGTGGGGTTTCTACTTGCTCCATGCCGCGGGCTACGCGCCTGGGGGGAGAGAGAGAGAGAGAGAGAGAGAGAGAGAGTGAGAGAGAGAGAGTGAGAGAGAGAGAGTGAGAGAGAGAGAGGAGCGAGAGAGCGAGAGAGAGTGAGAGAGAGAGTGACAGAGAGAGAGAGAGAGAGAGAGAGAGAGAGAGAGAGAGAGAGAGAGAGAGAGAGAGAGAGAGAGAGAGAGAGAGAGAGAGAGAGAGAGTGACAGAGAGAGAGAGACAGAGAGAGAGGACAGAGAGAGACAGAGAGAGAGAGAGAGAGAGAGAGAGAGAGAGAGAGAGAGTGACAGTGAGAGTGAGAGAGATAGAGAGTGAGAGAGAGAGAGAGAGAGATAGAGAGACACAGGACACACGCACGCACACGTCTGTAAAAAACATGCGGCGTTCAATGGCAACGTCTGCGGTTGAGAAGTGGTGTGCGAGCAAGAAAAGTAAGAAGACGCATAGCGCATGAAAGTATATTTGCCACCAACACCACATAATTGATTAGAATGGTCAAGGTAATGATAACGACGAGGTCATTGTCCTGAATTATGAGGTCATTGTCCTGAACTATGAGGTCATTATGCTGAGTGCTGTCAATGCTGTGCAGTATCACTGTAGCACTGTAACAGATCATTATTATTACTATGCACTGCACCTGCTAAGATAAGCCCATAAGTAGAGACAGCTTGAAAATCAGGGAGCCAATGTCATGTTAGCATTGTCGGCACAGGCTGCCTTCCGATTTCACCTCCTTATGTGTATGTGTGTGTGTGTGTGTGTGTGTGTGTCCCATATGGTGCAGTGGTATGTGCAGCGATTTCCAATCGATAAGTTGCGGGTTCGATTCCCGACGATTATGGTCACACACGTCTTTCTTCTCTTTCTCAGACTCTTCCTGACTTTTCTTTCATTCTCCTGGGTGGTTACCAACAGCCAGTGCATGCCGGAGTATGTGGTGTGATGTGTGTGCGGGAAAAAAATGAAAAGACCAAAAATAGGGATTCACTGGCCAGAAAAATCACTTCAAAATAGCTGTATGGTGTAGACCAGGCTGAATAGTGACGGTCAATTCTTCAGCCTTGCAAGCTGTTGAATGGTGCAATCCCAGCACAAGTTGCTATGGCTTCTGCCGTAGCATTGCTATCATCACCTCCGGCGATGGGCGTCAAAGGTCAAAGGTCAAAGGTGTGTGTGTGTGTGTGTGTGTGTGTGTGTTGCTATGTCTAACATAGCGGTTCGCTATCATCGCTTCCGCGATGGGCAGGTCTGAGGTCTGAGGTGCGTGTGTGTGTGTGTGTAACATTATATATATATGAGCCGTCAGATGTGAATAGGGGGCCAATCGTCATTTTTTGTTGAAATTAAGGTATGCCATTGATGTAATGGATAAAATTTGAATCAAGATTTCACTCTTCTTGAAGCGGCGGTAATTCCACGGCCAGCGATGCACAGTATCTTGTCAATTTGCTCATTCACTCATACTTTGTCAAGGGATTTTGCACACACACTCAAAGAGACATGATATTGACCGAGATAAGCAGGATTTGAAAGACGTTGGGCAGGTGTTGCAGCTGTGCAGCAAAGTCATGATCAAGCTATGGAGCTGCGTTTCAGTTCTTCGGAGTTAGTGGACTGCGGAGTTGGTTGATGAGCTCGAGTTCCGGCTCTGATTTCTTGTTCAGTAATTGGGGTAGTGCAATGACACAACCACGGTCTTCGTACCGCTCACAGTAGTCCAGGATGTGGCGAATACACTCCCTCTCGTTTTTCTCCTCATCTTCGTCTCCCTCTTCTTCCACATCTGGCTTTGTCATGTTGAGAAAGTCTGCCAATTCATCTGAGATCTGTCCGTCATTACATGCCGGCGTGCGGCATGGGTTGTTTGGGTTTGTTATGTCAAAGTGGCACAGTGGTTCCTGCACGGGCACAGGGCAGAACATATGGAAACAGACAAGACAAACCGTAAGAGAGAGGTTCCGGGGTACGATTTTCTGTGCCAAAAATCTGCATGGGCGCTACGGATTTTCCAGGCGTGCTTCATACCATTTTTCGGCACGGAGAATCCGTATGAACTGGCTTTCATACGAACCCTGTGTTTGTATGGAGATATTGCGTCATCGAGTGCAGAAAGATTTTTCGCGTACAAGTTTTGGTACTAGAAACATCGATTTTTCGCGGGAAGTTTTGATTTCTATACAAATTTTCAAAACGAGAGAGCTTGGAAGTGTAGCGGGCCGCAGTCTCTCTCGGAGGCAAATGCACACGGGTCTCAGTGAACACACTGTAACTGGAAATTGAAATGTAACTATAACTGACAATGAAATTAACTGGCAATGGAATTAACTGACTGGCAACTAAATTAACTAACTTGCAATAAAAGAATCGTGAGCAGCAGCTTTTATACAAAGGCAGACTCCGTACGCTAATGTACGGGATACGCTAACGTATGGGGATACAGTACGGGGATATGCTAACGTATGGGAATACACTACCGTGCGGGATATGCTATACGCTACACCTCCCCTCTCAAATACAATCACGTCCTCGTGATTAGAATACTAGGTGATAGCTGGACACCAACAACCGGCGGCGATTTTGAAGAAACTGGTGGCATGCATGGTCGCGTCGGAATAAACTCGACGATAGGAGATAGGCAGAATGGATGTCTTGCATATACAGGTATGTAGTCGTGAACATTATAGTAGATCGCAAATTACTGGGAGAGCGTCAACCGGAGTATGGCAAATAATATCGGAAATGATAACGTTTGGAAGAGACAGAAGAATGAACTGATAAACAAATCATAAAGTAGAAGCACACCAGGTTCACACGATTTCACGGGGTCAAAAGGGAAAGAACTGGCCTCCAAATAGGACCTGAAACCACAGCACGCTTGCTGCACAACACTGGCACAACCTGCCAGGAACATCGCAGTTCAAAAACCGAACTGAATACACTATAAGGGGCATTGTCACACACATTGTCCCAGGTTAGCTGGGGAGACCGTGGCTCACCATGATCGGATGCCTACCAAACTAAACTGGATTCACACACTCGCAGAAAGGAAGACTGAAGAGAATAGGAAGACTGAAGGAAGACAGGAAAGAAAATGCCATATCGGGAATTAGCTTACGTTGGGCATGGAGATGAATCGGTAAAGACGCTGTCATCATTTCTGGTTATCAATGGATGTGGCGGGCAGGCGTAGGAGGAGCGGCGGCTGGCGCATCCGGTTGGGTTGGATGTGGCGGGCAGACGTCGGAGGAGCGGCGGCTGGTGCATCCGGTTGGGCCATGCATTCGGTGAAATGGGCATTCTGTCGCGTTGAGTGTCACGTTGTATGACACATAGAATGCCACGACGCATAGAGTACCATGTGAGCATGCACCAAGGCGTGTGACCGACATGGATACCGTGATGTACAGCGCACGTGACTGTAGCCAGCAGCAAAGCATGAGCATGCAGTAAAGCGCCAGCAATCATAGCAGCATAGTTTGAGTGGCAGCACGAAGCAGCCGCATGCACCCATTAATCTGCATTATTACTATAATGCTACATTAACTACAACACACAGCAGCTTGCGGTTAGGAGGGTGCTGGCCAGCGAAGTGAGAGGCTACAGAGAGAGCAGGATCTTGGCGAAGCCAAGAGGATAGTCGCGTCCGAGGGACGAAGACCGAGAGCCCTGAGTAGCCGGAAATGAGCACGGCCCATTGTGGCCAGCAAGCCTCGTACCGAAGCAGCCGTGAGCGAGGTTAAAGTCATAGACACTGTCGGAGCAGGATCTTGGCGGAGCCAAGAGAGAGGTCAGAGAGAGGTCACTGCCGGAGCAGGATCTAGGCGGAGCCAAGAGAGGGGTCTCTGCCGGAGCAGAATCTTGGTGGAGCCAAGAGAGAGGTCAGAGAGAGGTCACTGCCGGAGCAGGATCTTGACGGAGCCAAGCCAGGGGTCACTGCCGGAGCAGGATCTTGGCGGGGTAACCACCAGCCACGGTGGGCCACCGGGTAGTTGAGATGGTGGTGGAGCTGAACGTGTCCGAGAACGTCTTGGAATCGCCGGTGGCAATTGTGCACGTTGCCCCGCTGTAGCCACTGTCACATTAGCAGCCTTGCTAGCGTTCGGCCTTCGACTGCTTGAGTGTGGCAATGATTCATGTCTCGTTGATATGGAGACGAGGCAAGGAAATAGAAAGGCAGATAGACACAGAAACAGACAGACAGGCAGACAAACAGACACAAAACAGACAGACAGACAAACACACAAACAGACAGAGAATTCAGGGTCAGCTGGGTAGACACTGCCGAAGCAGAATACTGGTGGAGCCAAGTATCTACAAGTACAAGAGTCTGCGTCCGAGGAACGGCGACCGAGGGCCCTAAGTAAAGAGAGGGGTCACTGCCGGAGCAGGATCTTGGCAGGGCCAAGAGAGAGGTCGGACAAGAGTAATACGTAGACACTGCCGGAGCAGAATGTTGGCGGAGCCAAGTATCTACGAGGGAGGATTCAGGGTCGGCCGGGTAGACACTGCCGAAGAAGAATGTTGACGGAGCCAAGTATCTACAAGAGTCTGCGTCCGAGGGACGGCGACCGATGGCCCTGAGTAAAGAGAGGGGTCACTGCCGGAGCAGGATCTTGGCAGGGCCAAGAGAGAGAGGTCAGACAAGAGATATACGTAGACACTGCCGGAGCAGAATGTTGGCGGAGCCAAGTATCTACGAGAGAGGATTCAGGGTCGGCCGGGTAGACACTGTCGAAGCAGAATGTTGGCGGAGCCAAGTATCTACAAGAGTCTGCGTCCGAGGGACGGCGACCGAGGGCCCTGAGTAAAGAGAGGGGTTACTGCCGGAGCAGGATCTTGGCAGGGCCAAGAGAGAGGTCAGAGAAGGGTCTCTGCCGGAGCAGGATATTGGCGAAGCCAAGAGAGGGGTCACTGCCGGAGCAGGATCTTGGCAGGGCCAAGAGAGAGGTCAGAGAGGGGTCACTGCCGGAGCAGGATCTTGGCGGAGCCAAGGGAAGAGTCAGAGAGGGGGCACTGCAGTGAGAGATCTTGGCGGAGCCAAGAGAGGGACGAGGACAAAAAGCCCCCTGGGTAGTTAGGCATTAAATGTTTGTGCATTGAGACCGCATGTGGTAAAGAGGATACTGACAAGAGTTCAAGCAACACGGATGAGAACCAGTAAGACAGTTACCTTGATGATCTCCTTGGCTGTGTCGCTCATTCCACGCCGGATAAATGCTCGTGCAGCAAAGGGAGCTTGCCCAAATAGAAGGACGAACTTTGCTGCGGTGATTGGCTAGACCATGGTGTCAGGTCGCTCCGCAGCTGTGGGAGCAAAGGTTCTGGAGTCATCCAACTTGGACCGGGCAGAGCATCAAAGGCATTGGAGGTGACTGGCACGTGTGATGCTCGAAACAGTAAGTGGTATTTAAAGAAGAAAAATAGATTATCGCTGGCAAACAGTTTCCTTCTGGCAATGCTAGGGCGAGGGCGTTGTAATCTCTCGGCCAGCACAATCCCTTGCCCAGACGACTGCATGGGGCTAAATGGTTGTGCGTTAAATGGACCACCTGTCATACCGTCCTTGCAGCAGCGTTGGAGACAGTCAGTAATAAATCAGCTGCCACAGACTTGGCTCAATGATGTCCCACTTCAGTGATAGGTCTGCAGCAGCCTTGATGCGGAATTGATAGGACAGCAACTCCACTGTCCTGTGCAAAGAAATGTCGACCATGATCTGGACCAAGACGGTGAAG